GGATTTAGCTCAGCGGCAAAAAGCGCCTGCCTGGCAAGCGCAAGGTCATGAGTTCGGTTCCCGGTACCGGAGAAAAACCAAAACAAACAAACAAAAAAAGGGGCCAGGGGTATAACTCAATGCAGTATGTGCCTAGATGTGTAAGGCCCTAGGTTTATGCCTAGTACAAAAAGGCAGCAACAAATATAATATACACCAAAGGCCCATCATGTTTAAAAAAAAAAAAAGTTTCCTCAGAATTATCTGTATTATGTACAGCTGGGTGTGGTGGCCCAAACCTGTACTCCCAGTATCCGGAGGCCGAGGCAGGAGATTGCTACAAATTCAAGGTCAGCCTGGCAAACAGTGGGTTCAAGGGTAGCCCGCATTACATAGTGAGACCAAAAAAGAATTATCTGTAGAACTGTATTGGATAAAAAAGCCTTTGTCCTCCATGCAGGCATTTTAGTGACCAAGAAGTAAAGTACGATGGGTACTTTAAGGAGAAGCAGGTTTGCCCTCAACCCTCCAACTTCCAGTCGTCATGCAGATGCCTGCCTTCTCATCCAGTCGGTAGAACTGGACAATGAGGATTTGTGAAACAGACAATATCAAACTTGAGGGAAGCAGCATTGTAAAAATCCACCTGCTTTGGACTAGTAACACTGACAGGATTGTGTTTCAACTGAACTGTTAAACATTTGGTTGGAAAAGTTATCAGTGGCCTCCTGATTTGGAGAACTACTACCAAAAAAATGTCCGAAAGAACAGCGACTAAAAGCAGATACAGAGAGAAGTAAAGAACTGGCCTGTGGCGGAGTTCAAATTCATATCGATTTGTCCAAAGCGGTGTTGTTTCATTTTGTTACTGAGGACCGAACCTAGTAGTTCCTTCACACTGAGCTACATCTCCAGTCCCTCTGTATTTCTGAGACAGGATCTCACTAAGTCACTAAGATGCCCCGGATGGGCTGAAATTTGGGTCCTGCCTCAGCCTCTCAGAGTGCTGGGATTATAGCTATAAACCACTATAGTACTTTCTTGCCTTTTTTTTTCTTCACCATAGAAATCCATCCCTTCCTCAATTGTGAGTATCAAGCTTTCAACACCCTTCAAAAGATTTCATTCTAGAAGTCCGGTACAGTGGCACAAGCCTATAAATTCCAGCACACAGGAGGCTGAGGCAGGAGGATCACCTCGATCCATAGTGTGTTCAGCCAGGGTTCCATAGGGAGTTCAAGGCCATCTTTAACTACAGTGTGACCCTGACTCAAACAAAGCAAAAAAGATTGCACTGTAAACTTGTTTAGTTTGATGATTTGCTCTACCTTGTAGAGTTTTAACAATGTGAAGAGGAAAGAAAAAAAAAAAAAAAACAACAATGTGAAGGGGAGAATAACAAAGGAGAATGTTTCCACGGTAAATTAGAGGCAGTATTTTCAGCTCAATTCAACAATGGCTGTAGTGAGTCAAATGTTCTCTTTTCTGAAATAAACTGCTAGTCCCTTCCTCCTCCCTCACCGCCCCCCTCCTTCCTTCCTTCCTTTTGCTTGACTGGGCATTGAATCCAAGGCCTTTGTACTGAGCTACATCCCCAGCCCTTACGTATGTATGTATGTATGTATGTATGTATGTATGTCTTTTTGAGAGAGGGTCTCACAAAAAGGCTGGCCTTGAACTCACAATGATCCTCCTGTCTCAGCCTCCTGAGTGCTGGGATTACAGGTGTGCACACCACACCTGCCTACCCCACCCTTTTTTATTTTTTAGTTTGAGACAGGTCTTCCTAGGTCACCCACCAAGTTGCCCAGGGTCCACTTGAACCTGGGATCCTCCTGCCTCAGCCTCCCACAGCACCGAGATTTTAGGAGTATGCCACTATGCCTGACTGTGCTGGTCAATTTAGCATGATATGCAATCATAAAATTTAGATGTACTTAAATGTTTACTCTTGGTGCTGGCTGTGGCAGTATCCTTGTTGTTCCAGCTTCTTGGGAGGCTGAGGCAGGAGGATCATGTGAACCCAAAAGTTTAAGAGTTTGAGGCCAGCTTTGGCTACACAGGCAAGGCCACCGTCTCAAAAAAGTTGACTCTTTTCATTAGTCTGTCTGCATTCTCAGTTCAATGATATATTTATTTTTTATTATCACTATTATTATTTTGCAATGTTGGGAATGAAAGTAGGACCTCCCCTATGCTAGGCAGGTGCTCTGCCACCAGTCCAATTTACTAGTTGATCATTATATTTAAAAGCTTGGTCATTTATATTCAGAGCATTTCAAAACATAGGAAAACAAATCATGTCATGCTCAATTGGAGAGGGATAATGTTATCAGTGAGAGATACTAAAAAAAGATACCTCTTGGCATCTGACAGTAAAGCACCCCTCTCCCAGCGGAGCCCGACCGGCTCTAGAGTTGAATATATTATCTGGAAAAGAAGCTGGGGCAATGCCCAGGCACTGCTGGGAAAAGGTGAGGCCAGCAGGACTTTCCAGCACCTGTCTCCTGAGAATAACCTTTAAAATACGATGCTAACTACCGAAATCCACAAACACTGGTAGGCACTGGGTACAGAAAAAATGTACGCCACATTATCTTATTGTTTAGAGGAAAGCCCCCGGGGGACGTGGGAGGGACTATGTTGGTGGGGCCTGCCCGCACACTGATTCCAGGGCTCTGAGGGGCGAAGCAGGGGACCCCGAATTCCAGTGCAGCCAGACCCACACAGTGACTTCCAAATAAGAAGTAAGAAAGGCCAGAGATGCAGCGCAGTGCCAAGGCCCTTGGTTCAATCTCCAGTACCGAAAACAAAACTACTTGTTTTGAAAAATGTAAGATATTCCAAGTAAACTATGTATTCCTAAAATTAAAGGCATTTTAATTTCTATTTACTGTTGATAAATAGCATAACGTTGTAGAAACTCCAAGAACCAGGGAAACAAACAAAAGAATTTGGGGAACATCAATGACTTGCTGATTTTTGCTGGCTGGATCTTGATTCGGACAATATGTGTTCATTTATTCAGCAGTGATTTGCTGAGCACCTGCTACGCATCAGTCAAGATGCCAGGTGCTATGAAACAGAATGGTGAAAACAAAAGACGTGTTGGCTCCCATCAGAAGGCATACATGTTAGCAGCAAGGAGGCAGTAATCATAAACCCACAAATGCAAATGTGAAAATATAGCTGGATGTGGTGGCACATGCCTCTAACTCCAGCACTTTAGAAGGCTGAGGCAGGAGGATCACAAATTCAGCCTTGGCAATTTAGTGACTTAGTACTAAAACCTCATTTCAAAAGGAAGAGAGAGAGAGAGAGAGAGAGAGATTGAGATTGATTTAACTCAATTCAAAGGCTTTGGATTCAATCTCTAGCACCTCCCCAACACACAACAAACCAAAAACACCCACCTACTACCAAAACAAAACAAACATAAAAACACAAGTGTCATGCACAGTACACACTGCTGTGCACAGCGGTTCCTGATACAGGGGTATGTGATCAGGGTGGGGAAGGTTTTGTGACAATGCAATAACTGAAATCTGAAGGTCATTATTGGAGCCAGGAGAGTCGGCACACCCCTGTGATCCCAGCACTCACAGGGAGGCAGAGGCAGGAAGATCACTATGAGTTCAGGGCCAGCCTGGGCCGTACCTGAGTTCAACTGCACAACGCAGTGACAGCCAAAATAATAGTGAATGAATGAATGAATGAAAGAAAGATAGATCATTATTCAGGTCAGTGAGTCTCATCATGAGTTTATTTATAATGGAACTGTTGGCAAATGTCTGGAATCTTATTTTCCCTGGCACTGAGGATTGAATCCAGAGCTTCATGAATGCTGAGAATGTACTCTATTCCTGAGCTACCCCCCTGGCCCTAGTTTCTATCTTTCTTTCTTTCCTTCTATCTATCTATCATCTATCTATCTATCTACCTTCTCGCAGTGTTGGGGACCAGACCCGGGGCCTTGTGCATGTTAAGCACTCTGCCACTCAGCACAGCTCCAGGACCTTTGCACAAGTTACCTTCCCAGCCCTTTTTGGGACAAGATCTCCTCAAAGTCCCCAGGCTAGGCTCAAATTTGTAGTACTCCTGCCTCAGGCTCAAAGACTGCTGGGATTACAGACATATGCCACCATGCCAGGCTAGTTTTGCCTTCTAAAAACAGCCTGATTTTTCTTTAGTGAAGTGACTGATTCATACCTGATATATTTTGGTAATATTATACCATCCTATCACGCCTCATTTAATAAAATACTAAAATTTTATGTAAGATTTGTATTTCTAGTAAATGCAACTATGTACATACCACCCAATTTTGGCCCACACTCAGCATTTTATTAATGTACTCTTAAACCATAATGATACACACGTGTCTTTTAAATAAAGAGAAATTTCTATTCCCTGTGAGCAGTTATAGACTCAAATCCCAAAACATTTTTAAACCAGTAATTATGTGATTTTGTGCTTGCCTAGCATGTTCAAGGCCTTGGGTTTAATTTCTTGCACAGGAAAAAACAATTCTATGACTTGATGTTTGGTTTACAATGAAACAAGGACAAAGTCAATACCACCCTTCTCTCCTCCCTGTTTTTGAGGCAGGGTCTCACTATGTAGTGCAGGTTGGCCTTGAGTGCACTTACGTAGTCCAGGCTGGCTGTGATCCTCCTGCCTCAGCCCCCCGAGTGCTGAGATTATAGGCGGGCACCACCATGCCCAGCTAATCTTTCCCTTTTATAGGATAAAAATTCTTCAATTTCATAGGGCAAAAGATTTTTGCTTCTCTTTTTTTTTTTTAATTTTTCTCCAGTACCGGGAACCGAACTCACGACCTTGCGCTTGCCAGGCAGGCGCTTTTGCCGCTGAGCTAAATCCCCAGCGCCGATTTTTGCTTCTCAAATGAATAATGAGCTATCTCAAAAATTCTCTCCCGAATCAGTGTGTACATTTACTCCATTCCAACATCCACGGCAACAGCAACGACAGATGTCACAGCACACTGCAGAGTCACTCACCCAATGAAAGCCACCATCTGCTCCACGATGTGCTTGCTGAACGTTATAATAACGAAGATTTTCTATAAAGAAAACACGTGTTAAGAGAAACATCTGTCAATAAATGAAACAGCACAAATTCACACTTCTGACAATAAGCTAAAAAAGGTGAAGTTCTGCCCGTGACTGCGGTTTTAAAATTTAAAGTGTAAGGCAAGATTTAATTGATTACCTAATTAATTTTTTGTGTGGGTACAGGGCATTGAACTCATGACCTCGCACTTGCCAGGTAGGCGTGCGCCCCTGAGCTATGTCCCCGGCCCTGACAAGATTTAATGTAAATGCTATCTAATTTGTGCTTTATTTTCAGGTATTAGTTTTTAATTTTTATTGGCGTGTGCTTGCTGTACATAATGGCTGCACCCTCATGTTCTGCAAGGTGCTTTTCCTTCAGCACAGCGGTGGGCTCCCTAGGACACGGGACTCTGTCTGAGGGAAAATATGAGTCATGAAACCCTAGACGGGGAGGGAACCGAGGCCATTCGCTGCTGTGTGTCCGGGAATCCTGCGCTGCCACACAGCCCCTATCACAGAACTCATTATCACTCCAGTAAGAGGGGTCTGGGTTGCATCTAATCTAGGGGCTCTTGCAAAGACTATCTTTCATGCTTTCATGGGAGGTCTCTAGAGGCTTAAGGTTTTGTATGTAGCCTGGTGTCAAGGAGGTACTCTACTCATTAAAGTCATGGATATCTAAAACAAGAAAAAATACCTTTACTGATAACATGTAACAAATGTTCTCAGCTCAACTCAACAAACACTAACATAAAGTACTTACTACAGGTAATATATTCACATAAATATAAAGCTGTAAATGCCAGTAGGGGTAAACACGACAAAACCAAACCAAATCAAAGGCCCAACAATATTGTGTAATAGCCGGGTGTGGTGGCACATGCCTGTAATCCCAGCACTTGGGAGGCTGAGGCAGGAAGATTGTTGCGAGTTCGAGGCCAGTCTGGGCTACAAAGTGAGCTCAAGGCCAGCCTGAACTGCATATCGAGACCCTGTCTTAAAAAGACCAAAAAAAAAAAAAAAAAAGGGTTATAGAAGTTCAGAAAAAGTCACATTAATTATACAATTAATTAAGGATTCAAAAGGTGGTATTTAACTTTAGCTTTCAAAAATGGAGAATAATTCTGACTAAATGTGAGTATTTCTAGATAATCTCCAAATCTGTGGTAAACACTTTAGTGTTCTGTTGTTCGTTAAATGATTACTTCAGCCCATGTAACTGGAGGGGAAGGAAAGACAGTAAACAACAAGTGTCCTTTGTATGCACCCATCCAGACCCTAGGAGAGCAGGCAGGGTAGAATGAACATTACACAAACGGCGTATGAATACCATGAAGCTGACAAGGGGAGGATCGGAGAATTCAGCAAGGAAAACATCAGTAAGAGGGGGTCTGAAAAAAACGTGGGGAGAGTCTGTGGCCAAGGCCAGGTATCTGGAGACAGAAACGCTGACTAAGCAAAAGAACCAAGGGCGCTGTCACTGGCCCGAGCGCCGCGAGCCCTCCCTGCTGTCATTTACTAACACGCACCGTGAGCCAGTGTCCCAGTCACCGCACAGTTTCATGGAGTCATCTGTTAACGAGGGGCCCCTCAAAGGGGGCGTGCTGGTGCGCGCCTGTGATGCCAGCTTCGGGGAAGCCCCGGCAGGAGTAGCCCAAGTTTGAGTTCAGCCTGTGAATCTCAGTGAGACCCTGTCTCAAAATAAAAAGGGCTGGAGATGTAGCTCAGTGGCAGAGCACCTGCTTACAGGTGTGAGGCCTTGGGTCCAAGCCCTAGTAACGAAAGGAAAAAAAAAGGGCCCTTCGATGGAAAGAAGCTTAGGCAGATCAGTTATTAAAAGTGCAGTGACTGCTCACTATACACCAGATGGAATTTTAGGCATCAGAAGACCTCAGTCAACCACAAGCATTTCAGGGTTTCACTATGCAGTTCAGGCTGGCCTTGAACTCACTTTGCAGCCCAGGTGGGTCTTGAACTCAACAATCCTCCTGCCTCAGCCTCCCAAATGCTGGGATTACAAGTATGTGCCACCATGCCTGGCTGGTAAGCACTGATAAGCATGAAAAAAATTAACTTTAAAAACCTACTTAGAATGTTTTCAAAAATATTAGTGGTACCAGCTTTTTAAAATTCTGAGACAGGGACTTGCTAAATTCTTAAATTAGTTGCCCAGGTTGGGCTCAAACTTGTAATCCTCCTGCCTCAGCCTCCTAGAGTGCTGAGATTATAGGTATGTGCCACAACATCCAGCTAAAACACTGTAGTGGTTTTGAAGCATTTGGAATGAATGGTCTGATAATCTGCATGTCTGCCACTACAGATAGCACTTACTGCATAATTTTACAACAAATTATAGAATTTACTACATGGCAAAAGTACAAATTGGGGGTAGAGGAAAATTTATAGAATATTATAAAATTATTATAAAAAAACTGAAGTAATCTGTCATTAGTGATTAAAGACTCCAAAAAGCTAAATGATAACATTCCTCTTCCCCTAGAAAGAACTAAAAAGAAAAAATCATCTTCAGTTACATCACAAAATAATTTCTTATTCAACCTAGTATTTTATTATTTAAAAATTCTGAGTCGGGTATGGTGGTGCATATCTATTATCCCAGCACTTTGGGAGGCTGAGGCAGGAGGATCGTTGCAAGTTCGAGGCCAGCCTGGGCTATAAAGTTTGTTTAAAACCAACCTGAACTGCATAGCGAGACCCTGTCTCAAGAAGACAAAAAAAAAAAAAAAGGCATTTTAAATTTTAAGCAAGTAAGCAGCATGGCATTATTAAAAATGTTGTGTTCACTGAACAAAATAGAAGTGAGAAGGTTATGTTACTATAGTCCTTGAAGGAGGAAAAACATATTCTTGAAATTCTGAGTGGTTATGATGGCAAGAGAAGATAGACTCAATAAACTCTTCCTAAGTGCCAAAATCTAAGATTAGAAACTGGAAAGGCAGAAGCGGCTGAAGTTTTTCTGCCTCATTCTTCTAAAAATCAGAGGCAGAGAGGTATTGAGAAAAATTTCTGGACATAGTTTTTTTTTCTAGGGGACACTGGACCTCACACATACTAAGCAGATACTGAGCTATACCCCTAGCTAGAAAGCTGTATTTTTGTTTTGTTTTGTTCAGTTTTTGAGACAGGGACTCACTAGGTAGCCCAGGCTGGCCTCAAATTCATGGTGATCCTCCTGCCTCAGCCTCCTGAGTGCTGGGATTACACACGTGCGCTATCACTCCCAGCTGAGAGACGTATTTTTAATTGTAAGGGCATCATGGAATCACTGTTCTTGCCCTTCTTTTGGTAAATATCTTCTTTGTTGTAAGCTACACTGATTAATAACATTCTCTAATTTTTCTTTTATTCTAGTGAGACTTGCCCTAGAAGGAAAGAATTCATATCACAGTTTTAGAAGCACATGTCCATTTCCTCTCATTTAAGTTCTTGGGCTCTTTTCTCTCCCGTTTGTGTGGACATGTGTGTGTCCTTCAATTTTTGCTCAGAATGGCTTTGAAGGCGAGTAGATTCTCACTTCTCTGCCCACAACCCACGTTTCCTGGCTTCCCCAGCGACCCCTTTCTTCCCCATTCTCTCTCACAGGAATATCTGGCTGGTTTTCGGTAACGACCACTGGTGCCAAGAGGGGAAGTGCTGTGTAGAGTAGGTGAGAGAAAATAAGAAGTAGTGAAAGGCTACATTCTCGCAAGCTGTGGTTGGTACAGAAACTACATGTTCTGGACGGTGCATATTTAAATGATGCGCACTCTCCTACACAGAGACACTACTTTTATTTGATAAAGTCTTGGAAAAATAGTTTCACGGGGGGAAAAAAAGAGAACAAAAGGGAAAGAGGAGAAGGAAGGAAGAGAGAAAACAAGGGGATTCAGTAACTTCCAAATGACATGCTTTCCATACTTTATTTTTTTTTAATTTTCATTTTTTGGAACTGGGAATCAAACTCATGACCTCGTGCTTGCCAGGCAGGTGCTGCACTGCTGAGCTAGATCCCCAGCCCCTGCATATTTTATTATCTAAGTGAGCTACCAACCCAAAGAAGCAGAACCATCTTTTTCTTTTTTTTTTTGGAGACAGGGTCTCGCTATGCAGTTCAGGCTTAACTTCAACTCACTTTGTAGCGTAGGCTGGCCTCAAACTCACAACGATCCTCCTGCCTCAGCCTCCCAGGAGTGCTGGGATTACAGGCATGTGCCACCATGCCCGGCTAAAGAAGCAGAACCATCTTGCAAAGTATTCATCAGCTGTAGGCAATGAGTTGAGGGGGGTATAATTACCTGGATGTGCATCTTAATAATTGCTTTCCCAATCAAGGTTGCACCAAAGAAGGTCCAAAAAGGTACAAGAAAATGTCCACATGTTATTCCAGCAAGATCAAACAGAGGATTTGGAATCTATTGAGAGAGAGACAGAAAAAAAGAGACTTCATGTATAATCCAAACAACAATTTTTCACATACATTCCAAAGAGTAAGTTTACTACCCTGCTCACACTGAGAGACAAGGATTGGGGCTCTAGGTCAGCAGACCACACTGTTCAGAAGGTTGCCAAGTATTTCAAAGCGTCTCTAAGTCATGTCTTATTCATCCTGGGTTATTGTTCAGTGCACTCCCAACAAATCAACCTGGCCTTCTGCTTGCATTACTGAGGGCTAATGCCCTATATACACGTTGTCATCACGTGAGGATGAAGTCCTCGGATCTGCAGGAATTTAATTGCACTTGGTGGATTCTTGACCATTTGGTGGCAATCTTCTATGGTGAGGTATGAGATATCTCAGGGGTCACTAGGGTTTGAAAATCTACAGCCTAAAATATGAATTATTATCTAGAAGTGTTCACATCTCTCACAAGCACCCCTAATACATTTATAGGTAAATATGTTTTTATTCTCTACATTAAAAAACCCCATTATTTGTATTTTATTCTAAAAGAACTCAAGGTGGTGGGACAATGTGAGATATATATCTGTATCTATATATCTATATATATATATATATTTTTTTGTTGTTGAGACAGGGTCTCGCCATGCAGTTCTGGCTGGGCTTGAGCTCAATTTGCAGCCCAGGCTGGCCTCAAACTCGCTTTAGCCTCCCGAGTGCTGAGATTACAGACGTGCACCACCATGCCTGGCCATGTGATATATTTTAGAAAGAAAATCAAGTGTGGACATATGACAGCATACAGATCCTAAGTATGTTTTGAATACTCAGTCCCAGACAGAGGAGGGATCCACAGTAAACACCCTTCCCAAACATCCTCATATTTTAAGAATGCTAAGAGAATTTCATGTAAAAATGCAAAGAAACCACAAGCTGTTTTTAAGCACTTCATCTTTTTTCTCCCACAGAAGTATTCTGCCCTGGTGGCTGTTGGCTGAACCATTTATGAGCCAATTAATTTATGTAATTTCATTTTTGAACTCTGAAAGAAGAGCCTAGTTGTTTAAAAAGTATTTGTCACATATGGTCTTTCAAAAGCAATGCCATGACTAAATCAGAATTCAAATATTCTTTTGTTAGTAACACTTGGATTCAATAACTCATTTTTTCTCATCTAAATTTAAATGCTTTATGCAATTTCATCTCTTACAACCATCTTAAAGTATGCACAGCATTACATCTGCTATGTCTAATATTTTCTCAAGTTACCCTCACAACCCTATGAATTATTACTTTCCTCTTTTATGCTTAAGCTCCAATTTATGTTGAAACAGAAACGAATTTAAAGTACACAACATATGTTATGTAAAATCAAAACAGATAAAAATTAGAATTTGTTAACCTGCTGGATATCTCATTCTATGCTGTATCCTCTCAAGAACAACATAGTGAATTTGTTCTTAGCTATACATGTGATTTATTCTTTTTTTTCAAGTGCTAACTAAATAAACCAAAAGAAAGATTAACATAAAAAGAACTATGCAGTTGTTTGAAACTTCTCCTTAACTAGCAACTATGAGTTTTATCTTAGTTTAAATGATGACAATAACAATAATTAATAAACTCCTTTTAACCTTAAATCAAATATGTAGAAATACAGTATTAGTATTAAAGATGCCCTAGAAAAAAATCCTGGAGGGCCAAATTGATCTTCACATGTCAAATAATGGCTGTACATAATCAAATAGAAAGGAGAGCATAGTACACACAGGAAGTGGATTTTTAGCGGTTAGGACACAGGCAGAATGCTAAAGAACTACTTCTGGCTTCAGAAACCAAAGACCCTTGCGTTTTCCTCAGGAGTGAGAAGAGCTATTACCTACTGAGTGCTCGCACCTGTGTGGTACTCCTGCCGGGCCTTTCTGTCAGGAACCACCATGATACTGTATGATACCATGGTACCCACTTTACAGGTGAAAGTGGTGAGGTGGGTGAAGCAATCTGCCCTAGGTAACTGGCAGCAGAGCACATGTGAACCAAGCAATGTGGCTCCCTGTTCTTAAGCTCCAATTTATGTTGAAACAGAAATGAATTTAAAGTACACAACATATGTGGCTCTCCTCGTTCTCTGGCCCCTAAATGCAGACCATCACGATCCAAAAGGATCTTAGCTTAATCTCATTTTTCTGGGCTTGTAGTATTTTTATATATCCTTGCATTTCAAGAGTCTCTCTCACTACACTTCAGGATTCCTGAGGAGAGAAAATAAACATTTTCTTTCTTTTTCAGTGGTAGAGACTGAACCACATGCTAGGCGACAGCCCTAGCACTGAACTGTTTTCTTAGTCCAGCTTTTATTTCCTTATTCCCAGAGTACTACAATAAAAAAGTCAAGTATTTATGTGTGAGGCAGTGCATTAACTATTTCACATATATTTCCTTAAATCTTCATATCAGCCTTTGCAATGAGTGTTATATTGCTCCATTTTTAAAAATTACAAGTTGGGAAAAAAATAGAAGTTGGAACCAAGCTTTGGGGGCACAAACTGATAATCTCAGCACTTCAGGAGGCTGATGCAGGAGGACTGCAAATTCAAGCCTTAGCAATTTACTGAGACTCTGTCTCAAAACAAAAATAAATGTATTTTATTTATTTTCGGAGACAACATCTTGCTATGTAGTTCAATCAGGCCTGAACGCTATGTAGCCCAGGCTGGCCTCAAGCTCATAGGGATCCTCCTGCCTCACACTCTTGAATGTTGGGATTATAGGTGTGCGCTACCAGTCTGGCTTTCAAAACAAAACTTCACAAAGAGCTGTGGATGCAGTTTATTGTTAAGGTCCTAGATTTAATCCCTAGCACCTTGAGAGAAAGAAAGGAAAAAAGAGAGGAAAAAAGAAAAATTAGGAGTTGGGCATAGCAGCAGGAGGATCCTGAGTTCAAGGCAGTGTGGGCTACGCAAGTTCATAGCCAGCCTGAACTATACAGTGAAACCCTGTGTGAAAAAGAAGGGCGTGAGGGAGAGGGAGGAAGGAAGGAAAAAGAAAGGATGGAAAGAACAGAAACACAAGAAAAAAGAAAAAGAAACTGGCGTTCAAATAGAGTAACTTGGCTAAGATCACATAACTAACAAGAAGTACAATAAGGGTTATGAACCCAGCTCATTTTCTTTCCACTATAGCTTTCTACAGTGGATCTATTACTCGCTCAAATAGTTATGACCAATATTGTGAAGAGATGCATTACAAAGTTACATTATGAAAATTCCTAGTATTGTCAGGAGCAATATATACATAGTAATTTAGGTATATGCATATTTTACAACCTCTATAATGCTAACAGCACATTACAAATTTTGGTATCAAATGCCCAAACTTTTGACCATTTGCTTTATCAAAGTAGAAAAGAGTTCAAAGATGTTCTATTCATGTTCTAGTTTTGTTGCTGTCGTTCTGTCTTCCGTTTTTTGAGACAGGGTCTTGCTGTGTAGTTCAGCCTGGCCTTGCACTATGTACTCAGGCTGACTTCAAACTTATAGCCATGCTCCTGCCTCAGCCTCCCCAGTGCTGGGATAATAGGTATATGCCCCTACACCTGGGTCATGTTCTAGTATATGGTAAAGTAGCTATATGTCAGGAGAAAATAACTGTGAATTTAAAATCACAGCTTATATCAACCAGATGCCTAGTTACTCTGGTTAAATCCACCACTGAACTACCAACAACTCCATATACGCTACTAAAGGAAACTGTGATCAAAGTGCTCCATCTGCAAAACAGCTACTTCATCAAGATAAATGCCAACTTTCAAAGGAATGTCAGGGGCTGGGGATTTAGCTCAGCGGCAAAAGCGCCTGCCTGGCAAGCGCAAGGTCGTGAGTTCAGTTCCCGGTACTGGAGAAAAACCAAAACCAAAAAAAAAAAAAAAAAGGAATGTCAATTTCACAAGTCTGAGATTTAAGACAATTAAGATATTAAGTTTTAGACAAAGCCCAGCTTTTTAGTTCACCGTGGCCAAAGAGGCCCTTAACTTTGGCACAGGTGTTTCCACTCCCAAGCCAGGAGTTAAGATCCTCAGGCAAGTTTATATGAATTCATCCTTTTTCTTCTTCTACTTCTTTTTTTTCCTACAGCACTGGGAAATTGAACCCAAAACCTTCACCCTGAGCTATATCCCCAAGTGTAGGGGGTGGGGAATCTTGTCTTTAATTTTTTTATTTTGGTACTGGGAATCGAACTCATGACCTTGTGCTTGCCAGGCAGGTGCTGTGCTGCTGAGCTATATCCCCAGCCCCTTCTTGCTTTTAATTTTAAAACAGGAATTATGGCTTATGCCTAGATGTCCCCCAAAGCCTCACGCGGTCACAGGGATTTTTCAGAGGCGGCTGAATCTATAGTGTGTGACTGATTCAGGGTGCAATGCCGGGATTAAGAGCACTGCATTCAAGGGTGGGTGGCTGCTGGATCAGCCCCCTGACTGGACTGGCACACCCTAATCCTGGTAGACCGGATACAATGTAAAGGACAGGAAGAGGCTGGTCTCGTTTTCCCTTGTTGCTTTGCTCTTTTGTGGGTGCCACAAGCTGTTTTCCTCTGTGATCCCCTTCTACCAAGCCACCCTGTCTTGGAGCCAGCAGACCGTCGACTGGGAGCCAAATACACCTTTCCTCCTTTAACCTCGGGTGGCAGGGATTTTGTCTCACCTACCAGAAAATTAACTAGGACAACAGGTTTTTGTTGAACTGCACAGGCTAGATTCGAACTTGCGATCTTCTTGCCTCAGCTTTAAGAGTGCTGGGATTATAGGGGCACACCACCACGCCCAGCTCATGAATTCCTCTTTGTAACCAATACTTGAAATTTTGGAAGAAGACTTCCTATCTGTAACTTTGTGGAAAGAATGAGGTCATCATTATGTGGTTAAATATATTTAATTCTAAATTCTTCAGAGAAAGAATGGATTTTGTCTCTTGTTACTGAATCAAGTCTTCCAGGTCTGAGGTCATCACTGTGTGAGGAAACACTTAAGTCAGTAAACAAGTTTCCGAACCTGCTGAACAGAGGGCAGCTCATTTAATGACCAGTACTGATTCACAAAGTTTATACCCACCCAATGATAGCATTTTTGTTCCATCAGCAGTATCTCTTTAAAAACAAACTGATCAAAATGCAACTCCATCACTTACTGAAATTTCTCATTTTTAATACAATCCACTTACAGAAGCACAGGCCAAGATTCCAAAAAATCCAACCTTCTGTACGAGTCTTTGAACTGCCAGTTTAGCTCGTGAGGGAAAGTCCTGTAAAGAGGAGGATTTTAAAACATTAATGAAAACAACATGGAAGAAAGAAAGATGGTTCTTCATAGTTTATTGAACAGCTTACAGTCTGACGGCCTCGATTCACCGAACGAGGAAGATGAAGAACATCAGAGCAGGTTATTCACGGGGAAATGTGCAAGTACATTTTTCACAGACTCTTACGTCTTTAAAGTCTTACCACGTTTAAGAATAAACCAAAACACTGTATTTTTAGGATTCTTTCTAGATTTTCTAGGGCTAAATAAAATACTGCAAATTAACAACGTACTAAATCATTCTTTTCCCCCCTATTTTCTTTTTCGATGTCACTAACTCGTTCTGTTGGAATGCTGGCCTCCCTCATCTTTCGCTTTTTCCTTCCGCAATGTGCCAGACTTCATCCCCAATTTATGGCGGGGTGGGAGATCAGGAGACACCAAGGCAGGCAGGGAAGACACCTCTATGGATCGGGAGCCAGAGGGGGGAAAAGTTAGGTGGCAAGAACTGAGCAAACAGCAGCCAAAAAGCGAAACAGTACTGCACTGCACAAAACTTTTTAGTATTCTGAAACCAGTATGGCTTTATTTCACTACAGCACTTCTCTCCATGATGAACATGCACTGAGCTGGCCAGTTTATTTCCATGATTTTCTTCTTCCAGCAACTTGTTGGTGATATACATATACGTACATATATGGCAATTTTTTCAAATTCAAACTGTTTTTTTTTTTGGAAATAGGATATCGCTATGTAGTTCAGGCTGGTCTTGAACTCCCTATGTAGCCCAGGATGGCCTCAACCTCTCAGAGATCTTTCTGTCTCAGCCTCTTGAGTGCTGGGATTATAGGTGTGCACCACCACACCCAGCTCTAGCATAATGTTTTCAAATGGGGATTAGGTTTACTGTTTCAGGAAATAAATTAGGTCTTAAACTCTTCGTGGTACTAGGGATTGAACCCATTGCCCCTGCACTATGCTACATGCCCAGCCCTTTTCATTTTTTAATCAGGACAGGTGTGTGCCACCTCACCTGCATCAGATTTCGTATTTAACAACTGAATTTTCAAAACAATTTTCTGCTTTGAATTATGATTTCCAACTCAAGATTAAAGTTTTCTTTGTGGCAGTGGGGATTTAACTCGGGGTTTTGGTGCTTGCTATGGAAGTGCTCTACCACTGAGCTCCATCTGCAGCATATTTTCAATAAATACATTTTCCAAGTAAGATACATGGGGAAATAGCTTTCTATTATAGCATATTTTCAAAATTTTTAATCTTTAACTGACATGTAGTAACCGCATTTAGGTGGGTTTGTGACATTTCCATACAAGTACACAATGTGTGGTGACCGGATCAGGGTTATTGGCCTATCGATCACCCCAGGCGTTTACCATTGATTTCTTTCTGAAATGCATGTTCCTAATACAGAAGTGACGTTTACTTTGGGGGGAACTCCTCACTTTCAATTCCTTCATCCTCCTCCCCCTATCCTTTCACCATCTGCAAGAGTCTACCTCTAGTTTCCTACCATCTCTCCTTTACTTTACTTTTCTACTTCTATTTTAAGTTTCTCATATAAGAGAAGACACCTGACTTTTAACTTTCTGAGCCGAAGTGACTTTGCTAAGCGTGACTGTTTTGAGTGCCATCCATTTTCCTGCAAATGACATCACTTATCATTTCTTTGAGTTTGTAAGAATTCAAACCCTTTTCCACTAGCCATCTTAGAATACTCGCCCACTGTAAGCCGTTTACCCCTCTGTGCTATTGAACTGTGGAAGTTACTCATCCCACCAAATGCAGCCCTGTACTGCTAACTAACTTCCTCTGCACCTCCCTCCCTCCCTCACACCTTCCCAGGCTCTGGTGACCACTCTTCTTTATGACACCAACTTTTTTTTTTTGAGAGAAGGTCTCACTACATATCTCAGGCTGACCTCAAACTCATGGCTTCAGTTTCCCAAATGCTAGGATTACAGGCACCTGCCACCATGCCCAGCTCGAAATCTTATTTAAATCAAGTGACTGATAGTGCCATCATTTCATAAAGATGGCATTTTCAGCTACAGAGATAGATGTACATACATACTTACTTACTTATTTATTTTTTTTCTTTTTGAGACAGGGTCTCACTATGGAGTTCAGACTGGCCTTGAGCTCACTTTGTAGCCCAGGCTGGTCTCGAACTCGCAACGATCCTCCTGCCTCAGCCTCCCAAGTGCTGGGATTACAGGCGTGTGCCACCATGCCCTGCTCATACATACTAATTTAACCTGGAAAACAGGAGTGATTATACAGGGACCTCTACTAACAAAGGAGAATAATAAGGAATCATTTGCCCCCTTTGGGGTAGGATATCTTAAGAGCAATCTGGATTGAACAAAGGCAAGTACAGTCCTGGTTCTTTTAGATGCCTGGTGCTCCCCACCTGTCACAGCATTAGGGTCTGGGTCATCTTCCTTCGAGTGAAGAGCTAAGCTCTCAAAGCAAGTAAAGCAGAAATCTCCTCAACCATTAGAAAATGGTTTTGAAGCTGGCAGGTATGACAAGGGAGACAAGCAAAGTGCCCTCTACACGGGGAGTTCTGTACTTGTGAAACAGCGAGAGTCAGCTAGGAAGAAGGGATTTCATCAACGTCAGTATGTGTCCAGCACATAGTGACCATGCTACTTTCAGTTCCTGTAATTTTCTCCAGGTCTTTCACAATATTCTCAGAATTAACATTACAATTAAATATCAAACAGTTATGAAAATTAATTGAAATTTAACAAAATCTGCATAGCTATTTTCATTATAAGAAATAAACAGCTGAATATGCAGTTTAATGGAGCATTTTCTTGTTTTTTTTTTTTCCCTTTTCAATTTTATGAAAATAACTCAGGGGAAGCACTGTATTTGAACCAAATTAAATACATTTTACAATGGTGAAGTAGCTCATTCATATTTTATTTTAAATTCACTTTAAGGTCATATAAATAAACGTTGATGAGGTCTTCAAAGCATTTAAAATTTTGGGGGTTGTCCTAAGGGAACCCAGGGTCTTCATGCACTCTACCAAATGTCTACGGCTCTGAATTTTACCAAAACTATTCTCTCGTTGCCTAAAATACTTTACATATTAAATGGAATTCTATTTTCTTTCCTACGTTACATGTTTTTTTTTTTGAGATAGGGTCTTACCATACAATTCAGGATGCTTGAACTCACTACATAGCCCACGCTGGCCTTGAATACCAGGTGACCTTCCTGTCTCAGCCTCCTCAGTGCCAGGATTACAAGTGTGTACCACCATGCTTAGCTCCCTCTTGCTTTTAAAATTTTACTTGATATATTTGTCAATGAACTCTTTTTAATTTTTTTTTTTTTTT